ACATATTTGCTGAGTGACTAACTGTAGAGGAAGGAATCTCTCCTTTTGATTCCATGCCTTCCATAAGCTAGAAGACTCTTGCCACTTTGCTTGGTTGGTTGGATTTAGGACAACTGTTTCCCACTTCTCTTTACCTTTATGAATCTCTTGGATTCTGGACTGTACTTTCCCACTTGTATTCTAGTGTTTAAATATGACTACCACTAATATCTTATGTTACTGAGTATTTCCTATGCACAAGTACCATACTGACTACGTATATTTATTCATTTTATCTGCACCAAGATCACAGATTGATGCTGGTACTTGATTATGTCCATTATATAGATGGGAAAATGGAGGCTCAAAGAGGTTAAACAGCTTACTAACCCAGCTTCCCTAGTTAGTAAACAGTACAGCCAGGAATAAACCCCAACAGTGAGATGCCAGTAGCCACCTTCCAGGTTTTGAATTCATGAGTGTGAATTGCTACACTGCCTGGACCTCGCTGAGGGCTACTCGACTGTTGGAACTACAGCTCTGGCCTCTGCAGACTGGCCCCTGTCATAGAGTCCTTGCCCCTCCCAGCACCGCTGGGCCCACGTCGTCCACATTAGCAGAGGCTGACTGCTGCTGCTCTCTCCCCACCTTGACAAAAATCAGAAAGGAAGGCTATTGTACAATGAGGCCAAGGAAATTCCTATCCGCCTTCTGGGGTGGTCTAGCTTTTGGGTGAATCCCAAAGAAAACTTTCTTCAGATATTTTTTTAACCAGCTCTGAAGTTACTGTTTGAAATAAGTTTGGGAAAGAGGAGGGGGCAACCTCTGTGAGCTTCAGTGGAGTCAAACATCTTTCACTCCCAAGCCCACAAGACACGGTCTTTCCCAAAAGCACCTGTTAGGCATCACCAAGTGAAACTCCAAAGCTGCGGTAATAGCGGTGAGAAGGAAAGGAGAGCAGCTTCAAACGAGCCATATACGGCATCTGACTTTCGACAATGAACGGTCCTGCTTCCTGTTGGTGGAGAACCCTGGCAGCTCAGGCAGCACAATGGTAGGAAAACGCTGAGCACACAACAATAAACCAAGGAATAAACAGCGCCCAGTTTTTTTTTCTTTAAATCAACATATGTGGCTTGGTGGATTGTGGTGTTTTATTTATATTGCTATGCAACGGAGGGAAAAAATAAAGGTGATTTCAGTGAAAGGCATGGGGCTATGCCACGCTATCTGATTGTAGTGTCCAAATTTAGACATGGCAGATGTCAGGAAGGGTTTCATGTCAGACATCAACCATGATAACAGAAATTAATTTAGCAGGGCTCAGGGCTGGGCTTTGCTTTTGTTTTGTTAAAATTCAACGGTGAACACAGTCAGCAGCCCTGGGCCAGGGAGTGCTGTGCTGGCTCTGGCAGGATCTAGTTGAATGTTCATAAAATCAAGAGCACAGCCTGGGGAACTTCAACCAAGTTGCCAGAAGGAGGTTGCAAATCGATTTGTCAAATTGCAGATCACAAAACATACCCCACCCCTGCCTCTGTGTCTGCCTTCTGGGGAGTTCCCAGCAGGAGAGGAAGTGCTGTCACCAGGGGGACCTCCTACCTCAGAAGGGCAGGCACGCAAGCCTCTGCGAATGTGTGTAACTATGACACTTGAAGTCACAACTAACTGTCCTGTCCTTTCAGGAAAACTGTCCCCTGCCCTCTGCCCCTTCCCCAAACTTCCCGCAAACCACTCCAACTGGGAAAAACAACTTCAGAAACTGGGAGGGGGGCGCGGGGGAGCTTTTTTTGGAATCAGGTTCCCTTGGTTACAAGTGAAGGTAGATATGGAGACCATTTATCCCAAACAGTCGCTTTCCTCTCAATCATAGGTACCTGTTCCAGGTGGCCTCCTTCCCTTTGGTTGTACATGCACAGACAAGGGAAACCTGCCGGTGACTGCTGCTGCTGGTCCCCGCTCCCCATCGCCCATGGAACTAGGAGCCAGGAAGGCCCCATATTTCCCCTCCTGGACCCAATCTGTGCAAACGACAAATTGACAGGTGAGCTGAAGAGAGAGGCTCAGACCTCCAGATTAAGTTAACCATTGATTATCTGTACAACTCGGGAAGGCCATTTGTGTCAAGTTCCCTAATCTGCAGATTTATTAATTCTTTCTACAGATACTTATTGGCTGCCTTCTATGTGCTGGGTACTATTCTAGGTGATACACATCCATGAACAAGACAGAAAAAAAATCCTGCTCTCAGAGTATTCAAGTTCCAGTGGGGAAAATCCAAAAGTACCAACAGAGAAGCCAATGTGTAGTTATCCTAAAATGAACACAAACTCAAGTCACTTGGCAAACATATACACTATTCCCCAGTATTAAAGGGACTCTGGGGAAGAGAGCTAACTTTTATTATTAAATGCTTTCAGTGTGCCAAGCACTTAATAAAAATAATAATTTAAAAAATTTGAGTGCTTATTATGTACTGGGCTTATAGGAAGATGAGATCAGGAGCTTTATGTATTTCCTTTTAATCCTCTCAGCAACTCTATTACCTCAATTGTTCAGCTGAGAAAACAGAGCTAAAAGTAAGAATAACTTGCTCAAGCACACCCTGCTTGGGATCTCTGCATTTGAGCCTGAGCTCTCTGTCAGATGGTGGTCACACTCACCCTTGCTCTGCTCCTCTGCTGGTGGACGGTGTGTCACTGCCTCACCCTTGTCCACCTCCATTCTGCCAGTCCTTTGAGCTTCGGCTGAAACATCTTCTTCAGGAGAACTGTCCTGATTCCTCACTATTGCTGTGACCCTTCCTCTAAGCTCCTTAACTAGATTAGATCTATGAAAGGTCGTGTCTAAACCCAGCGGCTAACACATAGTAGGCACTCAAACGTTGCTCTGTTCCTACTTCCCTTCCTTCCCGTGTTTAGGGTCAGAAGTGTGAAATTTGTCATGTTTGTTGTAGTTCTCTACGCATTGGTCTTGTTTCCTCAACTAGATTAGCATCTTAGGGAATGGTATTTAAAGTTCATAAACCATATATATACTTAAAAATTACATATATTTATATTTACATAATAGGTTATCTTTATAATTCCTGTTTAATGATTATTTAACAGAGTGGTACTCAAACTTGAGCAGGCGTCAGCATTTCCTGGACTTGTTAAAATAGATTGCTGGGTCCCTCCTCCAGAATTTCTGATTCAGCAGGCCTGTGATGGAGCTGAGAAAGTGCATCTCTGACAAGTTTCTTGCAGATGCTGATGTGCTGCCGGCCCAGGACTCACACTTTGAGAACCACTGGTTAAATGTACCACGATGCTTAGAAGCATGAAGACTGAGTTTGAATCCCATCTCTGCTACTCATCAGCTGTGTGACCCTTGGGCAACTAGACCTGTTTGAGCCTGTTTCCTTATCTGACAAAACAGGGACAATAATAGTATGCACATCAGGATTGTTGTGAGAATTAAGTTCATAATGAATGCAATGTGCTTAGCACTGTTCCTGACACGTTGAAAATGCTCAATAAATGCTGCCTATTATCCCTGGAAAGGCTGGCACAACATCAGGCACTAAATAAGCACAGAACCCAGCCTAAGAATTCCTTCTCAGACTGATATAAAACCTCTTTTGAATTTGTAAGCAGTGAGAGTGAAGAGTGTCACTGAAGCACAACATCTATAATTAACAGCTTTTGAAATTAAGCCAGACTATTAAAAAGCACAACAGAAAGGGCCTTTAGAAATGCCCCTCCTCATAAAATGCTGGATGTAAATACCCAAGTATACAAAAGCCTGTGTATTTTTAAAATTCAGGGCTGTCTACAGGATACCTACTTCCCACCTTCCCTTGCTGAAGGATGCTAAAGATGGCAACTTGGCCTCTGACAGATTGGAATTGCTGGAGTCACCCAGGCTTCTGGGCTAATGGGTTGGCGGACATAAGCAGAGACAGTCCTTCAATTATTAATTAGTTGAAGTCACAGGAAGACAAACTCCCCAGAGCAGATAGGGCAACTACCCTTCTCTATCCTAGTTGTTTCAAACCACCCAGCCCCCTGCTGCTTCCTCCCAGTTCTAAGAACCTCTTCACCCAAAGAAAGATCTGTATTTTCCTTCAGGATCTATCTGAACAGTTACAGTGGCTGACATGCTCTTGAGGAAGCCCAAGAGGGAATGTGCGGACAAGACAATTTTCAGACCTTGTTCCCTAGTCCTGCAGGGCCTGAGACAGAGTATCCAGGGATCTAGGGATCGTCTAGCCCTAATCTTGTCCCAGTAATATAGGAGACAAGGGTCATGGCCCTATCTGTCTGTGGTGAACCACTGATCCCGGGAATGTTGCTCATTCAATGCAAAGTTGAATGAGATCATCTCTGGAAGCATTAGTATTTAGCAGAGGCTGCAAGCTGGGGGTTGTGGGGCGACGCGGCTGCCCCTTGAAGCCCCTCCCTTCCGCCCATTTCCTCACAGAAGAGCACCACCACCTCCTTTCATCCAGTAGTACCCTCCCCTACTACCCAGAAAAAAGACGACTCTCCAATAGCATTTCACCCCTACCCCCAATTTCCTACACAAGCCCACCACGGCCAGGTGCTGTCTCCACACTCGGGATGGGGCACCACTTCTGGCAGTCCCGGTGCCCTGGCCAGGCCCCGGTTCCAGGGGAAAGGCGGCGCGAGTAGGGGGTGTGTGCATGGGGGGGCCAGAGGTGACGAGAAGCTGGTGTCCCTGCACCTGGAGTCACCAGCAGGGAGATGAAAACCGAGGCAGAGAGGTTTCTCGGCGGGAAGAGCCGCACAGGGTCTCCCCCTTCTCACCATTTCTCGTTGCTCTCTCAGTCCGTCCTCTTCCCCTGTATCCCACCCCCTCCCCGCCCTTTGTCTGCCTTTTTCTCACCTCCGCCTTTTTGAACTCCCTGCCTTCTGGAGCCCGGCTCCGACACCGCAGCGGTCGGCTCCCCGGGGACCCCGGCCCTGCGCCCCCGCCCGGCCCCCTCCGCTGCCCGCCCTTTCGGTTCCGGGTCTCACCCAGAAGAGCAGGTTGAAGCCGAGCAGCAGGTACTTGATGCACCGCAGGCCCCCGCGGAAGCGCCCCATGCTGCGGCCGCGGCGGCGGGATTCCGAGTCCCCGGGCCCGGGCTCCGAGCGCCCGGAGCTGAGAGAGCCGGCGGGGAGGGGGCGGAGCGCGAGGGGCCGTGGGCGGGGCCTGCTGGGGGCGGGGCTGCGGGGCGGGGCGGGAGCCTGCACCCGGTGAGAGCGGGCCAGCGAGGACCCGGTGCCTAAAAGCCGGCCAGGGGTTGGGGAGCTGCGGGGTGGGGGTCGAGCGGCCAGAGGGAGCACGTACCCGTGCTCTCCCCCCGGAACGGGGACCGCCTCCTTCCCTCTCCAGGCAGGGCGACGCGCCCTGTAGACGCCCCCCTCGTGGTGGTTATCGGAGCATCTGCGAGGAAGGAGCGTCCACTGGGGACCCGAGACCCATTTTATCAGCTCTCTGTGCAGAGACTCATTTGAGGCCTGCGGTGATGATTGAAATAAGGATGCGCCCCCGGTGACTATGGAAACCTCAGAAGGTGGCCTCCAGTAGAAGAGATAAGTAGGACTCAAGGCCGCCCTGAAGCTGGCAGTACCCGTTGCAGGGCACCCGGCTGGGGGCACCTGGTCCCGGAATGCGCTGTGGTTCCCCAGCGACCTGTGAGCGTATAGGCCGCGGAAGCCGCTTCTAGGGGACCCTCCCTCTGCCCCTCCCGCGCTCCTCTGAGAACTGTTACCTTAATAGGCAAGAACTGGGAGAAGGCGAGAGATGCCGCTTCCCAAACACCCAGAAGGCTGATCCTCACCCTGCTCCTCCTGGCCAGCGGATCCCCGGGTCTTGCTGGATTCCGCTGATGGGAGGGCTTGGAAAGGAATCCAATTCCTTGGGCATTGTTGTGATGTTGAGATAGGAGAAAGGGGGGCAGGTTTTGTTTTGCTTTATTTTATTACGTTAGGCTGCTGGCGGGGAAACCAGGCTCCCACTCCTGTTGACTAAGTGTCTGCAATATGTGGTGCCAGACAGTATGGGGGCGACGAGAAAGTGTAAAATCCGGGGAGCCTATGCATTAATTCAGCAAAATCATCAGTACCTATCATAGGCCTGGCAGCACTGTCTATGGTGGTAGAGACAAATCTGTAAGCAAATAATTAGAGCAAGGTGAGGAGGTTGGGCAGGGTGAGGGTCAGCAGCCGCTGGCCCCAGGCATTGGGCAGGGAAGGCCTTGCTGAGGAGAGTGGGCCTGAGCTGGTCCTGAATGAGTCTGAGCAGAGAGGAAGAGCAGAAGGGGCAGCATGTGCAAAAGCACAGGGCTGGAGAGAACAAGGCCTCCTGGAGGGCCCATGAGAACTGCTGTAGCCTGAGTGGAGCAGAGGGAGGTGAGTCGGGATGGTGCTGGGGCACAGCTTTCAGTCAGCTGACCAAAGCGTGAAACTATCCTGAGGCCTCATTTCCGCACGTGCAACATGGAGATGACAGTACGTACTTCATGCAGTTGTGAAGGTCCATGAGTTAATAGCTGTAAAGTACCTTGAACAGTGCCTGGCACAGAGTAAGTACTCTATAAGGGCTAGGTACCACTGTGTTGTACTCTATCAGTCAACCAGGCAGTTTCTACCATGTTGTCGTCTTTGGATGACATCTGTGTCTTTGGACGACATCTGTGTCTTTGGACATTTGTTTGTATACCTTGTGAATTTTATTTATAAAAATGAAGACAGAAAATTGAAAGTATGGATTCTGGTTATAAGCATAAGCCCCAAATAGTAAAATAGAAGCAGAGATGGAAATCATTAGGTATGCAGAAAGAGGCAAATCCTTAGCTTTAGTCAAACACTTATTGTCATCTCTGACCTATTAGAAAAGAACTAAATTATAGAATAGAGTCTGATACATAGTAGGCATTCAGTAAATCTCTGAACTGAATGAACAACAATGATATACTTTAAACATACTGTTGAATTATGTCTCTAAGACAAAATACACTTAGTGACTATATATTCTGTACTCTCTGGGAACAGAACCTCTGTTATAGCATATAAATCTATGTTCTTTCATACCACAATTTTAGCACACATTTGTTAGAGACAGAGGGTTGCCTGCCTAACATAACAGACACAGATTTTGAGTGTAGACTTCCCCAGCCGCCCACCTCCACCAAAGTTGTGTCTTAGAGAAACTGACCCTTGACAGACTAGAGCATCCTAACTGATAACATGTGTTCAGGAGTACATTATTATATGAAGGTAGGAGACTACATTAAATGAAATGATAAGGAAGTTAGCCTTTAACCTAGATGTTATGCAAAGCCAGAGACAGGATCTAAGCAAGGGATAAGATGGTTAGATTTCTATTTTTAGTCAAATTGGGGCTGCATGGAGGTTGGTTTGAAGTTAAGACTTGAAACTAATTAAGAGACTATTATAGCAGTTCAAGTAAGAAATGAGAACCTAAACCAAGATGATGGCAGTGGGTATAGGAAGGAGGCTCAGATTTGAGAGATGTTCCAAGACTTGCTGCAAGATTAAGACAGATCAGATGTAAGAAATAGAGGGGGAAAGAGAGGAAAGGATGACTCCTGGGTTTCTTACTGGGGTAAGGAACTAGGCAGATCAGGGAACCATTAAGAGAGATAGGACTTATAGAGGGTGCAGTAGGTTTGGAGGAGAATGTTACAGATATTGTGGGTGGGCTCACCTATCATCCAATCCTACATCCAATTTAGAGAATAGGAAAGCTAAATACTTGCTTCCTGGTTTCTTGCACCTAGAGGTGGCTGTATGACACAGTTCTGATTAATGGGATTTATTGGAAGTCTGTTGGTAGGTTTCTGGAAAACCTGAAATTGTCATGATAAAAGGTTCAGTTGTCTCTGGCATTGCTCCCTTCCCTTTTTTCCCGTCTTGAACCCAGACATAATGCCTGGAGCTGTAGAACATTCTGTGACTATAAGGAAAGGCCAAGAGAATTGAGGGCCTTCCAGCCAGGAGATTGTTGAACTGTTGAACCAACACCAGCAGCCACTTACCTCCGGATTTCTTGTTATGTAAGAAAAATATCCTTCATTTTCTGTTACTTGTAGCTGATGATATTTCTAAATGACACAGGAAGACAATAAATTCATACTTGGGTCTGATGAGTTTTAGATCTGATGGGAAATCCAGATGAAGTGGTCTGGGAGACAGATGAAAATATAATTGGGACTCTGGTGAGAGATTTGGATTCTAAGTTTAGGTTAAAGATCCATCAGCAAATGTTAATAATAGAAACCAATGGTCTCCAAACTTTTGTCTACACATTCCCTGAAATAATTATGACAAAATATATTCTCCCTTGCACATTTCTTCCAGTATTTTATTATGAATATTTTCAAGCATATAAAAAAGTTGAATAATCGAGCAGTGAACACCACATATTCATCACTTGAATTCTACTATAAACACTTTGTTTTAGTTACATTACTTATGTCTACATCTGCCCATTTGTCAATCTATTTTATTTTTTATCCATTTACAGGTAAATTTTAGACATTAATGAATTTCACTCTTTAATTCTTCAGAATGCATAACATTAACTAGAATTCAAATATTTGTTTACAGTTTTTCTCCTTTTTTAGACAAAATTTATCTCAATGAAATGCTCATATTTTAAGTATACCATTTGACTGAGGAGGGTATAGCTCAGTGGTAGAGCACTTGCTTAGTATGCATGAGGGCCTGGATTCAATCCCAAGTATCTCCAGTAAAAAACAAAAAACAACGAATTACCTCCCCTACCAAGTATACCATTTGATGATTTTTGACAAATGCTTTTGCCTTTCTAACTCCAAACCCTGTCGAGGTATAGGACATTATTATCACCACTAGATAGTCCCCTTGTACCCTTTCCCAGTTCATCCATGGCCCCACTCCTTCTAGAGATAACTATGGTTTTGATCTTTTTCACTATAGATTAGTTTTTCCTGTTCTATGTTATATAAATGGAATTATACAGTATTTACCCTCACACATTGTTAAGTTGATATGTAAAATTATTTATTATAAGTTTGAGTATATGCAAAACATGTCATTTCTGATTTGTTTTAAATATTGACATTTTAAAAGAAAATGGTCACATCTCTCATTTAAATGCGTTCAATAGAAACAAAATGTCAGTATGATCTGCTACCTACAGTTATTCTTTTTTTTGTTTACCAGGTTTGATGCTTGAAATGACTGCATGAAATTTTTGATCAAGACTTGTAGATGATGATCTCTTCAATGTTTAAACATTTCTCACTGATGAGAAACTTAATTAAAAATAAATTCTGATTTGAGGTATAACTGACATACATTATGTTAATTTTAAATGTACAACACAATGATTTGTTATTTGTATATACTTATCATCTATTAAAAATGCATGACCAAGCTCCTCTTTAACATGGTGGAAGTTTTTTTGTAATTGCTATATAGTTGATTTATAATATTGTGTTAGTTTCAGGTGTACATCAAAGTGATTCAGTTATATATATATATATATTATTTTTTTCAAATTATTTTTCACTATAGGTTATTGAAGGTATTGAATATTGTTCCCTGTGTTATATGGTAAATCCTTGCTGCTTATCTGTTTTGTATATAGCAGTTTTTGTGTCTGTGATCCAAATTACTAATTTATTCCTCCCCCCCACTCCTCTTCCCCTTTGGTAACCATTAGTTTGCTTTCTATGTCTGTGAGTATGTCTCTGTTTTGGAAATAAGTTCATTTGTGTCATTTTTTTAGATTCCACATATAAGTGATATCATCTTATATTTCTCTTTCTCTGTTGACTTACTTCACTTAGTATGATAATCTCTAGGTCCATCTATGTCGTTGTAAATGGCAATATTTTATTATTTTTATGGCTGAGTAATATTCCATTGTGTGTGCAGTATATATATATGTGTATGTGTGTGTATACACACACACACACGCACTACATCTTCGTTATCCATTCATCCATAGTGGACACTTAGCTTGTTTCCATGTCTTCCCTGTTGTATATAGCACTGCTGTGAACATTGGCTTGTATGTATCTTTTCAAATTAAAGTTTCCATCTTTTGCAGATATATGCCCAGGAGTGGGATTGCTGGATCATATGGTAGTTCTATTTTTAATTTTTTAAAGAACCTCCATACTGTTTTTCATAATGGCTGCATATGGTGGAAGTTTTACATCTTTCTTTTTTCTCCTTGAACTTATATTTCCATTTCACTTTTTCCATGAAATGTAATCCTGAAGTAATGCATTTTTATGATCAAATGATTTTTCCTGAATGTCCTTTTATAGTTATCTGAACAAACATTGTTATATATTTATTAAAAGAAATTAAATTTTCCTCCTGAGACCATAGGCTGTTAATTAATTTCTTCTAGATTAAATTATCGTTAAAATTATTCCTAGTATGCAATTGATTAAACTATTAAATATAGTTTAAATAAGCAACTGTTAAACATAAAAGTAAAATATTACTGGAAATGTATCTCTTAAGGAGATTGGTGGGGTTGGGATTTTTTTTTCTACTAGTTTATGTATCCATGAATGAATATTCCTTATTGCTAGAACAACACAGGGCTTAGCATAAATTCCCTCAATATTTTCTATTGTTCTATTGATATTAATGCTCAGAAACTTTGTTTATACAAATAAGTAGATGAGGATGGAAGGAGTTGTCAATGCCAATCAATTCTTTAAACCCCTTCTGAATTATATATCCCAATTCCCATGTTATTCTAGCATCAAAAACTATTTCCAATGATCAATCAGCTGACAACTTTATTTTGTCTTTTTTCAACTCTATTGAATGCATAATTACAAGAGCATTTATTACCCATATTAAAGTCATTCGCTATATTAAGGTCATTGTAAGTGGTCTCAGTACCTACAGAAAATTTTCAGGTTGCTGGCCCAGAGATTTTTCTATGAACTCTGGAGAAATGTACTATAACTGAATTTAGGATGAGGGAGAGGTAGCTTGTGAGGGAAGACACCTTGATCACAGGCATATTCTCAGGCAGACTGATTTGAGGAAGGAGTACATGTGGAAATTGAGGATCTGGAAATTGATTCTTTTGAAACTATTCACGCTGGAGTACCCTCTGGAAAGATTTCTTACCTTGCCAGGATATGCATGCCCCAGACATAGAAGGCTGCGTTCAGCCCTAAGAATGGATAATATGACCAGGGAGGATGTGGAAAGTGTTGAGAACAGAAACTTTACAGCAACAGCATTTTAGGAAGTGGGCAGAGATACAACAGCCAAAGGAGACTGGGAAGAAATAGCCAGGGAGGTAAGAAACAAATCAGAAGAAAGTGATGTCCTAGAGGCCAAGTGAGGAAAGAGTTTCTGAGAGGAGGGAATGGCCACGGTGCAAATATCTCAGCAATGACAGATGAGATGATGGTTCACTGGAATTGGCATTATGGTCACTTAAGATGTTGACAACCGGGGTAAGAGCTTTTTTAGAATAGTGTTGCGGGGGTGTG